CTAGGACATAGAGGTTCAGAGAGGGCAGCCTGCTTTCCTCACAAACACAGTGAGATGGGACATAAACTCAGACTAGCCACTTTCCCCTGCTCTGCCAGCCAGGCTGTAGTTTTTAAAAATGGATATATCTTTTTCCCTGCTAAAATAATACAGGTTCCTTTGTGTAAAAAAAAAAAAAAAAGAAAAATGGTGTTTGTGTCTGTGTGTATGGGTGGGTGAGTGGGTGTCTCTGAGAAAGAGAAAGGCAGGGGGAGTTTTGTTTTGTTTTATTTTTTTGCAGCTGGGAATCAAACCCAGGATCTTACACATATGAGGCAAGCACTCTACCACTGAGCTATACCCTCTGCTCTTTTAATTTTATTTTGAGAGAAGGTCTCTAAGTTGCCCAATTGTCCTTGAACTTGAAATTCTCCTGCCTCAGCCTCCCACTTAGCTGAGACTACAGGCATGTACCACCATGCCTATACATTTTGATTATAGAATCAAAATGTGTTACAGAAAGTATATGGCTCTGCTCTCCTGGGAAGTATAGCTTCTCTTTGGTAGTCTTTTAAAACTCTTTTACAAGGTACATATGTATAGCTTTGCTCTATATGAATAAGTTCATTCTGTCCACTGTGTAATCAGGCTGAATACTAGGCATATCTTTTTAACCTCTCTGATACTCAGTTTCCTAGTCTGAAAAATAGATATAAAGGCTTTATGAGCATTGGAGGATCTGTAAGTAATACTTCAGTCTCCATCTCTGTGTGCTCATCTCAGATCTCTTGTTAGATTTTCTTTGAAGATATTGCCACAAGTAGGATTGCTCGGCCTGAGAGTGGTCACCATTAGAAAACATAATAGTTGCTTTCAAATTTGTAATCTTTTCTGATTTTTTTTTGTTTGTTTTTGATTTTTCTTTTGCAGTGCTGGGGATTGAATCCAGGGCCTTGTGTGTGCTAGGCAAGTGCTCTTACCAATAAGCCACACACCCAGCTGTCTTTTTGTTCCACTTTTACAGCTTCCTCCCATGTCCTTATGGGTGTACCTCTGGGACACTCTCACACGACCACCTTCTCTGCCAGAGCTCTGTTTCTCTGTGTGCATGTTGAGCCAATGGCATGGATACGCATCAGTTGGGGAATGGGGGCTGCAGAATGTGATGCAGCTAATGGCTTTCCCTCGCTGAACATTTTTCTCTCCCTGGGATACTTACCATCCTGCTCCTGTAAACACAGGCTTCCTCTCCTTCCTCCCTATTGCTGGTGACTCCATCTACTCCTGTGGCCTCAGGTTCCAACTCTGTGCCTGTGGGCCCCAAACTGCCTCCCTCAAGACCTCCCTCTTCTGCTCCAGGCAGAGTATCCCACTGCTTGTTGGACTGTCCATGGACATCCCACATAGACTTCTTGTGCCCTAGTGGAACTGACATACCGCCCTACCTTCCTGCTAAACCTGCCCCTCTCAGCCTCCTCAATGCAGGGCCTCAGCCAGCCAAAAGGAACTTTCCCAAAAGGAACTTTCCCCTCTCCTCCTCCACGCCTGGTCACCCAGCAAATGCTGCCTACATCATGGTTTACAGATGGTGCCTGTGCATCCCCGCCTTCCCCTTAGTCCAGATCATCTCACAGTTGGACAGCTGTAACAGCTTACCATCAAGGTCTGTCTCTTCCTCCCTTTCCTTCCCCACCCCTACCATTCATTTTCCACCTAACATCCCTGTGGGAATCCCATCTTCTCACTCCTCTGCTGAAGATCCTTCTGGTGTTTCCCATCACCCACAGGATCAGGCTAGACTTCTTGGCATGGCTTTTTGAGGTCAGGGCATCCTTCTTGCCTCTGCCCTGTTTTTTTTGGCTATGCTTCTAAGTCTCCCCTGTCTACCCAGCCTCATATGGACACTTCAACCAGGTTGAACTATAGTTTCTCAATTGCCCTGGACCTTTGCATATGCTTTTCTTTCTGCTTGTTTATTCCAGAATAACATGCACATTCGTTAATAACAGGAGCTATCATAATAGACAAACCCCAAGTTCCAAAAGGCTTAACACAAAGGCAACTTAATTTCTATTTTCTTGAAATCCAGTGGATGTTTGTGGACAGTGAGGCAGAGACCCAGGCTCCTCCCATCTCATGGCTCTACCCACTTCCACATCCTTGAAGATCACCCCATTCACTGGGTAGAGGGAAAGTGGAACACAGAGGAGTTCTGCTCACTTAACCTCATCAGTGTCATTCTGTTCATATTCCATCAGCCAGAATTCAGTCACATAAAGACACTGACTGCAAAGGAGGATGGGAATTGTCTAACCATGTAACCATGGAGAAAAGGGAACTGCCCTTGGAAAGTGGAGAACACACAGCAGCAGTTACTACCACTGGCGCCTCCTCACCCACAAAGTCTCCTTCCCTGACACCACCCCTCACCCCTTCCCTAGGCTGGATCATGTGTCTTCTCTGTGCTGCAGCAAGCCCCAACCAGTTTCATCCATCTTGCTTCTCTGGACACCCTAGGACTGTGAGCACCATATGCCCTGCACTGAGTGTCTTGTGTACTCTAGTACTGGAATCTAGAGACAAAAAAAAAAAAAAAGTAAGAAGACGAGGACCAAAATCTTAATGGTAGTGACTCCCAGGAATGGGGCTCTTTTCATGGTATTCTTTATATTTTATGTTTTCTGAATTTTGTTCAGTGATCCTATATTTCTATTATCATTTAAATTTTTTTGGTAGAGGGAGAATGAACCAAAGATGGTATCACTAATATTTCTGGCAGTAACCCCTGCTGTCAGGATGATGGGGGACACAATTCTGCAATCAAGCCTCCCCACTCTGAAATGTTGGCTTCATTTGGGTCTTTACTTGCCTCCCCACTCTGAGCACATCTCACTTGCTCCTGGAGAGCTTGAGTGCCACTCCTTCACCGCTGCCCCATAGAGTGGGGATGACAGCCAAGGCCTTCAGCCAGCAATCTGAGAGTGGCATGATGCATGGGAAGTCCCAAACACAGGAATGGATACTGTTTGGTTCAGAGTCCACATTCCTAAGTTGTAGTCACTGCTGTTCAATGCCAACTCTGCTCTGCTTCACCCCCATAAAACTGTCTTCAAACCAGCTCATTCTAATTTCCAATGGGCATTAGAAAAAAATAAAACAATTCCAAAGCATGTCCCAAACCTGATTCCAGCACTTGGAGAGATTGTAACTCTCAGCCTGGCCTGTGGCAGTTTTAGCTCTGGTATTTTGTGGGTACTTGGGGCTTCTCAGGTTGGATGGGGTTTTCAGAAAACAGGGGCTCACAGCAAGTGGCAGATGCCTGCTGCTCCCTGGGAGGAACTTGCAGTTGCTTAACATATGAGAATGCTCAGTGGGGCAGGAAGAAAAGACTAACATTTAACAGAGTCATGAGATGGGAGGGAAAGGGAGAGAAAAGGAAATTGCATGGAAATGAAGGGAGACCCTCATTGCTATACAAAATTACATATAAGAGGTTGTGAGGGGAATGGGAAAATAAACAAGGAGAGAAATGAATTACAGTAGATGGGGTAGAGAGAGAAGAAGGGAGGGAAGGGGAGGGGGGATAGTAGGGGATAGGAAAGGTAGCACAATACAACAATTACTAATTGGGCATTATGTAAAATTGTGGATGTATAACCGACGTGATTCTGCAATCTGCATGTGGGGTAAAATTGGGAGTTCATAACCTACTTCAATCTAATGTGTGAAATATGATAGGTCAAGAGCTTTGTAATGTTGTGATCAACCAATAAAAAAAATAAAATAATAAAATAAAATAAAAAAAAGAGAATGCTCAGTGGGGATGAAAAACTGTCACAAAATTATGATTATTAACTGATAGTGATCCCTGGGTCTCTAGAGCCTGCTGCCTGGGCCATGATGGGGCACTGGGCATCAGTGCTGAAGGGGAGATAAAGAAGCCTTCTAGGCACAAGGGGTCACTTTGTCTAGAGACAAAGCCAAGACAGACCTGAGCCTAAGATTTTAGTGTGGGGCTGAGCCCAAGAGTCCCTGGCCTTTATAGCCAGTATCCCTAGAATTGTCTCTTAGACCTGCTGAAGCCCCAGGAAGAATCAGCTTCTGCAGTCAGCCCAAATCCTACAAAGCTGGTCTAGGGTGTATATGTGTCCCCAGCCCTCACCCACAACAGGCCAGGAGCTGCCCAGAATGGATTCTTTATCCCCTCTGATGAAGAAGCTAGAGCTCAGAGAATAAGATCTCTCCAGACTCATCCTCGCAGTCTTGGTCAGACACTGACTCCTGGAAGTCTTCCATGCCCAGTTAGTTCCTCACTCCTCAGGGATCCTGCAGATTTGGAATTAACCTTGGTCCCTAGGTATGTGTCAGCCCCTTTAAGTCCTGGATCTTGGCAAGTCTTCGTTTGGACTCTTTGTTGTCTGCTGTGTGATCTTCAGCTCTCTGAGACTTGGTTTCTTCACCTGAGGAGTGGCTGATGGAGGTGCTTGGTGCTTGGGGCAGCTGTGAGACTTAAATGAGGTGCGGTGTGGATCATTAGCCTCCCGCCTCCTTTTCCTCCCTTCAAGCCCTCAAGCCTGTCCTGTGCTTTCTGCAGGGCTCTGCAGTTGCTGTGTCCTTGGCCCAAGGACGTCTGGAACTCTGCTGAGCCCTTAGATAAAAGCTGCCCGGTTGTCAGGTCCAGGGAGAGGCGTGGGACTGCCCAGGGCTGTTCAGCAGGGTGTGAGGGGCAGAGGGCCAGGGAACCACCTGCAGGGTACTGGGATATGCCACTTGCTGTCCCCAGGGAGAGAACTCATAAATATTCACACCCACTGGAGAAGGAGGGAGCCAGCCAGGCTGCTACTGTGTGTCATTGGAGCATTCTTTTCTCCCAGTGACTGCAGAGGCAGCCCAGGAGTCAGATGTAGCTCAGGCTGGGAGAGGAAAGGATAGCCAGTCACAGAGGTGAGTAGATCCCCTCTGCACTCACACCAGGGTCCTCTTGATGGTGATGCTCTAGGCCAGGTTTACCTTCCTGAGTTTGGTTTCCCTGTGTGTTAGATGTGGGGATAAGTCCTATTTTTTCTTTATTTCCTGAGGGGTCTTAGCTGAACCGTCCTAGCTGAATGGGAGGACGCCTGGGCCTGGCCTGCTGCCAGTCACCTGCACTGATGGAGGCCAGTGTGAGTGGGGTAATCAATCCACAAAGGCAAGGATAGATTGAAGTGGAGACTGGCTAGGGGATTGTGTCCTGTGTCCCTGAGTCTGTGACCACTATGGACAGTGGAGGTAGAAGACCCAGGTTCTGGTTCTATTTCTGCTGCTACTGTGCTATGTGACCTTGAGGGTGCCCCTGCCCTCTTAGAAACTTGACTTCCCTGCCTCTCTGTCTTCTGGCTTAGAGATCATGAAACTTAAGCTGCACTGAGATTGTCCTTGAACCTGGGGCCTTTGGAGATGGGGCCAGGAGTGGGACCTGGGAGGGTAATAATAATGATAACAATGGCGGCAGGCCACGCACAGCAAGTGTTTGCTCTGCGTCTGCTCTGTGCTGCGGAATGCAGAGTATCTGCACAGCACCCAGGGATGGAAGGAAAGTTGTACTATCATGTAGGAGGAAAATTTGAGGCCCAGAGAGGGACACAGCCTTTCTTGGAGCACACAGGAAGAAAATAACAGATGGGATTTAAAACCAGAACCTAGCCCTAGAGTTGCTGTCTCCAGAGAACTCTTGTGTGTGGCTCCCACGTGCCTAATTTTCACATGTGCTCTTGTGCACACATGACCCTCACTAGTATGACTTCCATGTTTAGCTTTCACTCTTGGGATATTTACATACATGTGGCCTATATGCATGGCTCTGACCTGTTTGTCTGTCTCACACATGGGCTGTTTCCTATGTGGCTCTCAATGAGGCGTTGGCTGCCTGGACCATGGTCTCATATACACTCCGGGATAGGGCTACGTGACCCTGAGGATTATGGGGGTCATTCATCAAACATTTACCAGGTGCCAAGCTCAGGAATGAGTCACTGCTATAAGGCTCGCCTGAAGCTGAGCACAGAGAGGATCTTTCCTTCTGAACACCCAGGCATGTGAATCAAGACTGCATCCTGGTAAATAATGCTAATGGTTAATTATGATCACTATTAATAATTAATATGTGTCCACCGCCTCCTGAGTACATGCATTCTCTCATTAGAATCTCACAGCCTCAGGACTGTTCTCCCTCAAGCCAGGCTCCTGGCTGCCAGCCAGCACCCCTCTGGGCCTTAGTTTACCCGGAGGCTCTGCCTATGATCACAAAGAATCCTGTCTGCCCTGATCTTGCTGTTGTGTGGTCACTGTACACATGAGGAGACTAAGTCTCAGAAATAGTGAGCTTTGGGCCCAAATTCACAGAGGCCAGGCAGAAAGAGAATGACTAGTATTGGACACTCAGGTGGCCAACATAGAAACACTAGCCATCAGGGCCCCTTTCCCCTCTCTGTTCATTCTGCATGCTGGCTCAACCCACAAAGACCAGTTCCTGCTGTGTTCCTGGGACAGAACTTCCCCCATGCCTTGGCCTATGGTGGAATTGCTGCCATGGAAATGCTTCCTTCTTCCTTCCTTCCCTCCTTCTTTCCTTCCCTCTTTCCCTCCTATGGGTTTAGGGTGCTCCAGGCAGGATTGTCAGGGACAGAGAAGGAAGATGTGTGCTACTGGTCCACAGACCTGGACTCAAATTCCTTCCATACCTCTGCCTTTATGAGTGACCCTGGGCAAGTTAGGTCACCTCCTGTAGCCTCAGTTTCCCCATCTGCAAAATGGGACTGACAGTGGGTAAATTAACATCCATTGACTGGCTGAGTAGAGACAGTTAAATGCTCTGAAAAAGCCCCTGCCCCAGGCCTGGCTCCTCACAGGGGCTCAAAATTGTAATCAGAGTGTGAAATGGCCAAGGATGCAGCAGCCAGCAGGGGCCAGGCTGGGCAAAGGCCTGGTGAGGTTTAAGGAAGTCAAAATGGGAGAATGTAGGAATGAGTGAACCAGTGATGAGGTGGGTGGGGCCAAGTGGAACCTGATTGGCAGTTCAAGAAGGCTGGTCTGCCCCCTGCTGCCTGGCCTCCTGCCTAGACCTCCACCATTGCAGTTTCCCAGAGTTCCGGAAAGTACCCTGGTGAGTGGGGCTGCTGAGGCAGGGGTGGGCCCTCAGAATATAGTCAGGGTAAGCCACAGAATCCTAATCCCTCCACATTTTAAAGCCATAGAAACTGAAGCTCAGGGCTCCACTCAGGGTTCTGAACCAGTGTAAGACTCCAGCCTGAATTAGCCCTGCTTTCTGTTGTAGCCCTGAGGTGCAGGAGGCTGATAGGGACGCTTGAGGCTTGGGGCAGGTTTGTGAGTAGCCCAGTGGTCACTCCTTGTCCAAGGATGGCAGCAGGCCTTCAGGGAGGGGTTTAGGAGAGATTCAGCTTGCCTGACCCATCTCAGGGAGGCTCCCATGGGCCCAGCTAGAGTAACTCCCACCTTACACATGAGAAACAGAATCTAAGGAGGTCCCTGGCTTGTCTGAAATCACAGCATTGGATTGAAATAGGCCTGAGGGGTTGGGCCTGATGTTGGTATGTCTCCCTCCTAGAACCCCTCCTGACAGGTTTTACCCCACCTTGCAAGCTTTGTAATTTATTTTTTAAATTATTTAATAGCTGAGTGCAATGTATTATCTTTTTCAGATTAAAAAGTAATATGGGCCCCTTTAAAGAATGTAACAGTTTAAAAAATGCATAATTTGGAAAAAAATATTCCCATATATACTCTCCCCCAGATATGCAGAGGATACCATTGCTGAAATGTAGATTTCAGGTTGAACATTTCTAATCCAAAAATCTGAAATCCAAAATGCTCCCAAAGCTGAAACTTTTGGAGTGCCCACATGATGCCACAAGTGGAAAATTCCACACCTGACCTCATGTGATGGGTCACAGCCCAAACACAAGGACACTAAAAATATTGTATAAAATTACCTTCAAGCTATGGGTAGAAATGAATTTCATGTTTAGACTTGGGTTCCATTCCCAGGATATCTCATTATATAAAGGCAAATATTCTGTAATCAAAAAAAAATCTGAAATTCAAAATACTTCTGGTTTCAAGCATTTTAGATAAGGAATAAAGGGATACTTCACCTGTACTGCTCTCCACTTACTTTCTTCTGGGTCTTCATGTAGTTTTACATACATATATAAAGAATATGGAGGGCTAATTGATGGACATATTGTTCTAGAACTTTCTTTTTTCCACACAAATAGATCATGATGTGTTTTTAGCTACACCTTGTTTTGTGTAGTTATTGTTGTTGTTTTGTTTTTTAAACATCTGCAGATGACTCTTTCTATGAATGGGTCTTGATTTATGTAATGGTTCCTTGCTGATAATCACTGAGGTTGTTTCTGATTTGCTCCTGTTTCTGATCAAGCAGCTGTGAATACCCTTGCACATGTGGCTTTACATTTGCCCAAATGTTTAGAAAAATGAGAAGTCAGAGAGCATGCACCTTTGTCCTTTGACATCACTGCCCTCCTACACTCTCCCTTACCCTTGCCCAATGCCCTGTCTACCTTGTAAAGTAAACAAGGATGTCATGAGGGAGACCAGATTCCCTCTTGTAGTACAGTGTCTTTCTTTGCAAATGCTTTTCATGTTCTTTCCAGTGAGGACCAATTTCTAAATGATGAACAAAGGACTCAGAGATTGGTGCCACCTGGTGGGTTGGCCTAAGGGGCCCTTTCTCCAGGAGAAGTTTGTGGATGCCTTGGATAACTTTTCCAGGGAGTAGTGTATGGGCTCCTACCCAGGTGGTCTGTTCTATCTTCTGCCCCTAGGCACAGTGGTGATGATCTATGCATGTGATCATAGGGCAGCAATGTTACTTCTGGTGGCCTCAGGGGCTCAAGAGCTTAAGCTAAAGTGAGAGTAGAAAGTTCTAAGGCCCTGGTTTTGCTGCTAAGGGGTGGTCCCCCCAACAAGCTCTCTCCTGGAGAGAGCTTATCCTCATTATAGCCCATGATTCAGTTTTCTGTGATAGGGTTGCCACATTCAAACCAAACCTCCCTCTAAACAAATATATAATAATAATAAAACCCCCAAAATACTGTTTAAATTATAGATTGAATAATTTTTAGTATATCTCATGTAATATTTGGGACATAGTCATACAACTAAAATATTTTATTCATTAGTGAACTGAAATGCACATTTCACTGGGCATCTCTCCCTGTGGGCCATCAAAGAGAAGGTGGGTATGTGGGTAGAGGCCTGTCTGATTGTGTGAGCTTAGTCACCTTCTCAGTTGTGAGCCTGTTTCTCTACCTGCCTCCCCTATAGATCCCAGTAGTGCAGGGGCTGGTGGAAAAAGAGCAGGAGATTTAGCCCCTTATTGGGCAGCCACAAAGGTGGTACAGAGGACATATAGGGCTGGCACTCTAAAAAGTAAAGGATTCAGGTCCCCAGAGAGCTTCTGGCCTTTCCTGTAGACAGCCCATTCCAGGCCTAGGGACAAGAGCACTGAGCAAGGATCTACTTTTCCTTCTTACTTAAAAAAGTATTTCATTATGAAGCCCCAAAAGATCCAAAAGAAAGGTAATGAACACTAGTGTCATCACCAACCAGATTAAAATTTTGTTTTAAAAAAAACACATTTTTTTAATTTAAAAATTTTTTCCAATTTGTTTACATGACAGCAGAATGCATTTTGTTTCATTGTACAAATGGAGCACAACTTTTCAGTTCTCTGGTTGTATATGTTGCAGAGTTGCACCATTTGTGCAATGATACATATACCTAGGGTAATGATGTACATCTCATTGCACCATCTTACCTACCCCCATGCCCCCTCCCCTCCCCTTCCCCTTTGCCCAATCCAAAGTTCCTCCATTCTTCCCATGCCCCTCCCCCATTATGTATCAACATCCACTGAGAGAACATTCAGCTTTTGGTTTTTTGGTATTGGCTTACTTCACTTAGCATATTTTCCAACTCCATCCATTTACCAGCAAATACTATAATTTTATTCTCTTTTAATGCTGAGTAATATTCCATTGCATATATGTACCACAGTTTCTTTATCCATTCATGTATTGAAGGGCAGCTAGGTTGGTTCCAACATTTAACTATTGTGAATTGAGCTGCTATAAACATGCATGTGGCTGCATCACTGTAGTATGCTGATTTTTAAGTTCTTTTGGTAGAGATCAAAGAGTGGGATAGCTGGGTCAAATAGTAGTCCCATTCCAATTCTTCTAAGGAATCCCCGTAATGCTTTTCAGAGTGCCAATAAGCTTAAAACTTAAAACAGAACCATGAGGCAGAAACTTCTCCCTGCCTTGTTTCTCTTTGAGTTGACAAACCCTCTCTGTCTGCAACCCTATGGCTGTCTATCTCCATGTGTTTTTCTTTCTGTCCCTATCTGGACCCTGTAGGGGGGGGGGTCACAGTGCTGGCAAATGCAGATCCTTGCTTCCAGGCCCAGAGCAGCCTTGGGTGCTTGTTGGGACCAGCCTCCTGATGCTTGTTTCCACTCTCTGCTGCCCCTTACAGGTGTCTGAGATGCCGCCCACACTACAGAAGAAGCGCTGGGAGTCCATGGCCAAGGGGTTGGTTCTGGGAGCTCTTTTTACCAGCTTCCTGCTGCTATTGTACTCCTATGCTATGCCCCCACTGCACACTGGCCTGACCTCCACGTGAGTAGCCTAGTTGAGCACCCAGTGGTGGGGATATAGAGGGACTACTCCCCTTCAGGGAGGCCCTGTAATTGCCTTACTGCAGGACCTGCCTGAATGATTGATGCTATATCCTGGGTAGCCATCCTGAACACTGCATCATGCTCTGCTGGACAGAAACTCTGCTACTGAGGGCAGAACTCACCATGTAATCCTGGGCCTCAGTGTGCTCACCTATGAAATGAGGAGAACAACAGAGCCTGCCTTATAGAGTGGGAGAATCACATCATACCATTTATGTCCAGGGCATGGATTATATTATCTGAGGCTCCAGGAGGGCCACAGGGAAGAGGTCAGTTTATCTAAAAGCACTCAGCTGGCACAGGGCCTGGATTAAAACTCCTGTATGACCCCAGGCCTTGCTCCTAACCATCCGGTAATCCTGATGGGCATATGGGTGCAGCAAACAGGAAAGGTTTCTCATGGAGATGCTCAGCACAGATCTGGCACAGCCTGTACTTTTAGTTGCTAGGTATTAAATTGAACTGGAGGAAATTGTCAATTACTGACTCTACTAAAGGGCAATTTCATGTGGTCCAACCTAGTACTATTTTACAATAAACATAAGACACTGGCCATGATTGAGACAAAAGCCTGTGTACCTCACTTCACTTCAATCTCACACTAACATCACAAATAGGGCCTGTTATTCTCCCCACTTCACAGATGAGGAACTGAAGCCAGAGAGGCCAAATCACTGGCTCAGGTATTCAGCCTAGACTCAGGCCCATCTGTGTCCCCATCTCATCCCTGTTGCCACCACTGTCATCAACAAACCCATGTTTAGGCATGAGGGCCCAAGGTTCTAAGTCCCCAGACCCCCAGCGGCCTCTGACACTCTTCCTACCTCTCTGTCTCTAACAGGACCCCCGATGCCATAGCACCCTGCTCCCCAGTCTCTGGTGAGTCAGAGGGGGTGATTCTGGCCAATGGCTCATTTAGAGGTTGCCAGCCCCGGCGCAACATCGTGTTCATGAAGACTCACAAGACGGCCAGCAGCACGCTGCTCAACATCCTGTTCCGCTTTGGTCAGAAGCACGGGCTCAAATTCGCCTTCCCCAATGGTCGCAACGACTTCGATTACCCGGCCTTCTTCACCCGCAGCCTGGTGCAGGACTACCGGCCCGGGGCCTGCTTCAACATCATCTGCAACCACATGCGCTTCCACTATGAGGAGGTGCGCGGCCTGGTGCCACCCAACGCCACTTTCATCACCGTGCTCCGGGACCCTGCCCGCCTTTTCGAGTCCTCCTTCCACTACTTTGGACCCGTGGTGCCCCTCACGTGGAAGCTCTCAAGCAGCGACAAGCTGGCGGAATTCTTGCAGGACCCAGATCGCTACTACGACCCCAACGGCTACAACGCCCACTACCTCCGCAACTTGCTCTTCTTCGATCTGGGCTATGACAGTGGCCTGGACCCTGACAGCCCGCAGGTGCAGGAGCACATACTGGAGGTGGAGCGCCGCTTCCACCTGGTGCTCCTCCAGGAGTACTTCGATGAGTCTCTGGTGCTGCTGAAGGATCTGCTCTGCTGGGAGCTGGAGGACGTGCTGTACTTCAAACTCAACGCCCGTCGTGATTCACCAGTGCCTCGGCTCTCTGGGGACCTTTACCGCCGTGCCACAGCCTGGAACATGCTGGATGCCCGCCTCTACCGCCACTTCAATGCCAGCTTCTGGCGCAAAGTGGAGGCCTTTGGGCGGGAGCGTATGGCCCAAGAGGTGGCTGCCCTGCGCCGTGCCAATGAGCGCATGCGGCGTATCTGCATTGATGGTGGTCGGGCAGTGGATGCGGCTGCCATCCAGGACTCAGCCATGCAGCCCTGGCAGCCGCTGGGTTCCAAGTCCATCCTTGGTTACAACCTCAAGAAGAGCATCGGGCAGCGACACCAACAGCTCTGCCGTCGGATGCTCACGCCCGAGATCCAGTATCTGATGGATCTTGGCGTTAACCTCTGGGTCACCAAGCTCTGGAAGTTCATTAGGGACTTTCTGCGGTGGTGACATCCTGCTGACCTGTGACCTCCCAGCTCATTCACTACAGAGGGGCTGGGCAGGGACCTGCTGATGTTGGCTTCCTTCAGCCCCTCCTGGTGCCACCCTGGACCCCAGGGTGAGGAGAGGCTCTCAAGGGGATGTAGCCAACCAGAACTGGGCCCCTGGTACACAGGGCCTCACAGGAGAGCAGTATTTGACTAATTATACTATTTTTTATTAAACCCTCTACCCTCTATTTCCTGCCTCCCCTTAAAGGGGAGACCTCAGAAGTAAAAGGATTTGATGTTGTGTTTTTGTTAATCAGCCTCGGTGGTGGTGACTGGAAGGGCCCTGGGATGGGGGGAATCCCAAAAGAGCACAGTGATCTGTTTGTGAAAGTGTCTGTAAGACAGCCCAGTGCAGAGCAGGGATCTGATATGTATGTTACATATTGAAGCCTTGTGTGGTTCAGGAACTCCCATGGCTTCCAATACCTGGAAAATTTTTGTTTGTGCACGACTGTATGTGCATATGTGCATGTGTGACCGAACTCTGGTTTTGTGCCTGGCCCTGGGATAAGTGCTTTGTGGACATTATCTCAACTCATCTTCACCAAAACTCAGGGTTGTTGAGACTGTTATCTTATGTTAGAGAGGAGGAAAGGAGCTCAGAGAGGGAAAATCACCTGGCTGAGATCACACTGTAAATGGTAGGACTGGAGCAGGTACCTGGTGAGTGGAAGGTATGGGCAGATCAGGACGGAGTCCAAGAATGAGTGAATGTGTGTGTCTGTGCATGCATGTGCGCACTCATGTGTGTGTGATGGAGGTGGGGTGGGGAGCATTTTGTGGGGTAGGTTCTGGGCCCAGGCTAAGAGCTTCTTACTCATTAATCCTCATAATAATCTCCCCACACACACATTTTTAATTTGTACATTATAGTTGTACATATTGATGAGATTTGTTGTTACATACTTATATATTCATAATAATCTTCAAGCCAGGCACAATTACTGTCCCATATTATAGATGTGGGAACTGTAGTCTTAATAGGGCAAGGGACTTGCCCAAGGTCACATTACAAGATATATCAGATCCAAACGATCTCTCAAGGACTCCCAAATCTTTGCGTCTTTGTGTCTGTTCACTCTATCCCTAATGCTCCTTCCCCTGGCTTCCAGTTAGCACCTTCTGTCTCCACCCACCTTTCCCACTTCTGCTATCCCCAGAATGCCTCACACATCTGCCCCTTCCACGCTCACATTCAGTTCAATTTATCAAAAATAAATAAATAAACAAACAAACAAACAAACTGGTCTCACCTAATACCTGTTGCACCCCTAGACCTCATCTGTCCTCAAGCATACAGCAGTCAACAAGTTGGTCAGGACCCTCCTGGAACTTATATCTAGAAGATGGCCACCAAGGCATAGTCAGATGTTATTGACCAGGGTGGGGATGCTCCTGGCTCTAACTTCAGCTGATGTGACTGCCTCCTTCAGCATCTCCAGGGGGACGGTGGCTTTTGGTGGCACATACTCTCAGGCTTCCAACTAGAAATTGATATCCAGAACTGAATCCCAGAAGCCACAGTCAAGAAACTGTTTATTGGAGACCTATTGTGTCAGGCTCACACACACCTGAGCTAAAGTATCTACAGCCTCCCTTCTATGCACACCAAAGATGAGGAAGGTTAATTCAAAGCCCCACACCTAATTAGTGCTAAAGGCAGAACTCAAACCAACATGGCTCGGCTCTTGACCCTTCTCTGGGTTTGTGATATCTGAGCTTTTTTGGCCAAGCAGCATGGGGAAGAGTCAGGGTGATTAATTGTCCCAGTATTTTGAGACTCTCCTGGTTTTAGCACTGAAAGTTCCCCATCCCAGGAAACTCCTCAGTCCTAGAAAACAAGGTTTGACCTCACCAATTCCCTAGAGCCACCCTGCCTACACCTTCATAATCTTCCTGTAATGTTCTTTGCAACACACCCTTGGAGACTTTATCTAAATCATATGCAGGGAAATAAGCAAAAACAAAGAACTGACAAAAGCTAAGACTAGGGCTGGGTTGTGGCTCGGAGGTAGAGCACTTACCTAGCATGTGTGAGGCACTGGGTTCGATTCTGAGAACCACATATAAATAAATGAATAAAATAAAGGCCCACCAACATCTTAAATTTTTTTTTAAAAGCTAAGTTTATACCTACAAAAAGACGTTACTAATCCCAAATCTATAAGAGAATTTGACCACAATTTTATTAGTCAAAGATAGATGTCAGTATGTAGTATGATACTATCTTGGATTTAAAGAACCTCATAATTTTATCTCCTTAGACTCTGAAGGGCCTAGAAGTACCAATAATAACATTATTATATATTGCATTATTTTATTGTTATTGGCATTTCAAGATCCTTTGGGATCTGAGGAGAACAAAGCTGGTAGACAGCAGGTGCCAGAAATATAAATTACTACATTGGAAACATCTGCCTGATAGGTTCTAAGAGCATTACAGTTATTAACTCATGAATTTATTTATTTTTTCATAGAGAAGCAAATTATTCATTTTTAAAAAATAGAGCCAAAAGAAGGGCAAAAGAAAATTCATTTTCAAGGGCCCTCTATGTGCCAGGCAAGGCACTCTACATACATTATTAAAACTTTTTCAAATTTTTTGAGATTTTCATTTTTCCATGTTTTTATTGGTGCATTATAATTATACATAATGATAGGATTCATTTTTAGATATTCATATATACATGTGATCTAACAATTTAATTTGTTCAATATTATTCCCTACTATTTCCCCTTTCCCTTCTCTCTTCTCGCCCTCTGTTCCCTATTCTCTACTGTACTGATCTCCCTTCCATTTTGATAAGATTCCCCCAACTTTTCTTTTCCTGGCTTTCACATATGAGAGAAAGCATATGGTCTTTAATTTTCTGAGTTTGACTTATTTTGCTTAACATAATGTTCTCAAGTTCCATACATTTTTTTCTGCAAATGACATAATTTTATTCTTCTTTATGGATGAATAAAACTCCACTGTATGTATATACTACATTTTTTTAATCCATTCAAGCATTGACAAACACCTAGATGCTTCCATAATTTGACATCTGTGAATTGATCTACTATAAACATAGGTATGCTTGGATTGCTGTAGTACTTTAATTATCTAGGGTAAATGCCAAGGAGCATTATATCTGGGTCAAATGATGGTTCCAATTCTACTGAATTTAATTTCATATTGTTGATGTGATTATAAATTGGCAAAACCATGATGGATTTCCATTGTTGTTTTGCGAATTCAAAATCCCATCAACAATATGAAAAGTTCCTTTTTCTTCATATCTTCTCTAGCATTTATGATTGCATAATTATATTCTTGATGGTTGCCATTCCAATTGGATTGAGATTAAATCTCACTGTAGTTTCATTATTATTGTTGTTATTGGCATTTCAAGATCTTTGGGATCTGAGGAGAACAAATCTGGTAGACAGCAGGTGCTAGAAATATAAATTACTACATTGGAAACATCTGCCTGATAGGTTCTAAAACCATTACAGTAATTAACTCATGAATTTATTAGAGAAGCAAATTATTCATTTTTAAAAAATAGAGCCAAAGGAAGGGAAAAGGAAAATTCATTTTTAAGGGCCCTTAAGGATTCCAATTCTATTGAGAAACCTCCATACTGATTTCCATTGTGGTCTTCCTAATTTATAATCCCATCAACAGTATGAAAGTTTCCTTTTTCCTCCATATCTTCTCTAGCATTTATGATTGCATAATTATATTCTTGATGGTTGCCATTCCAACGGGAGTGAGATTAATTCTCACTGTAGTTTCATTTGCATTTTCCTAACTGCTAAACATGTTGAACATGTTTTCATATATTTTTTGGCTATATGTATTTCTTCTTTTGAGAAGTGTCTGCTTAGTTCATTTGTCTATTTAATAATAGTGTTATTAGGGGGTTGGATGGGTAAGCTTTTTGAATTCTTCATATACTCTGGATAACAATCTTCTGACAGAAGGGTAGCTAGCAAAGATTTCTCTCCCATTCTATAGGTTCTCTCTTCATGTTTATAATTGTTTCCTTTGCTGGGCAGAAGCCTTTTAATTTGGTGCTATCCCATTTATTAATTCTTGTATTATTTCCTGAACTTTAGATATACTATTGAGGAAATTGTTGCTAGGTCTTTGATCCATTTTGAGTTAACTTTTGTGTAGAGTGAGAGATGAGGATCTAATCTCATTTTTCTACATATATGTGGATAATTAGTTTTTCTAGTACTATTGGTTTAAAGGCTGTCTTTTCTCCAATATATGTTTTTGGCAGCTTTGTTAAGGATCGATTAGATGACTATCTGTGTGAGTTTCTGACTGTCTCTTATTTCATTTCTCTGGTTTTATGCCATTACCATGCAGTTTTTGTTACTATAGCTCTGTAGCATAATTGGAAATCAGATATTGTGATGCCTCCAGAGTTGCTTTTTTGACTTAGAATTGCTTCAGCTATTTTGAGTCTTTTATTCTTTCAAATGAATTTTAGGATTTTTTTCCTAGTCCTATAAAGAATGTCAGTGATATTTTTATGGAGATTACATTGAATCTATGTTTTGCATTTGGTAATATGACCATTTTAATAGTATTAATTCTGCTTATCCATGAACATGGGAGATCTTTCCATCTTTTAATGTCTTCAGTTTCTTTCCTCAGTGTTCTATAGTTTTCATTGCAGAAGTTTCTCATCTCCTTGTTTAGATTTTCTTTCTTTCTTTTTTTGGAGACTATTGTGAATGAGATTGTTTTCCTGATTTATTTCTCAGCACATTCATTATTGGTATATATGGAAGCTATTATTTTTGTATGTTGATTTTGTAACCTGCTACTTTGCTGAATTTATTAGCTCCAGCAGTCTTCTGGAGGAGCTTTTTGAATCTTCTAAATATAGGATCATATCACCTACAAATGGTGATAATTTGACTTCTTCTTATCCTGTTTTTATTCCTTTGGTTTTTTCTCTTGCCTAATTGTTCTGGCTAGAAATTCTAGTACTATATCTAATAGGAGTGGTGAGAAAGGACATCTTTGTTTTGTTCAAGAAACAAGTGGACATCTATGTCTTTTTTAAAGGAAATGCTTTCAGTTTTCCCCCATTCACCATGATGTCATCTTTGGGTTTATAAAATATAGCCTTTATGGTGTTGAGGTAGATTCCTCCTATTCCTAGTTTCTTCAATGTTTTTATCATAATCGGTGCTGAATTTTGTCAAAGACTTTCTGAATCTATTACTATATCAGTCTTGATCCTATTT